TTTAATATATTTTACATATATCTTTAATATATTTTACATATATTAAACACAACTTATTTATTTAGGTTTTATGGACCGATTTACCATGCTCGAATTTCCATCTCTTAATCTGTGTTGCGATCCTTGATCAACAGATGAATTTCATCATTGAAAATAAGTTTGGTTTAACAGAAATCCTCAAGGCTAGTTTTAATAATGAATTCAATAAACTGTGGTAATAGACCATATTAGGTCAGAAAGATTAATAGATCTCTTGAAAAAAGAAAAGAAAATTTTCAATTAAACCGTCTGACAGCACTCTACTGTCATAAAAATTTGTTGCTCTGGCGTTTTATAATCTTAACGAATTTTGAAAAATTATCAGGAATGTTATTGGGAAATATTTAGCTTCTTTCTATTATTACAGCATGTGAACGATCTATCGATGCATATTGATTTGAATGATACGTTAACTTCAGCGGAAGCTATATTTCATCAACTTGCGGCTAGTCAAGACAAACTTCCAATTCACGTCTGTAAAATTCTATCACTGGGTGATTCTTCTGATTCCAGCAAAGGATGAAAATAATATTCAAATCGAAATATTTGTTGACGTAAGCATTATATCCATAAACGCTGCGGAAATGCACATCTGTCTTTGGTGCTTTTGAACACTGAGTAGTACGTTATAAGGTACTACTTTAACTAACATTTCTCTTGTTTTATTTATCTGATAACTTTAGGTCACTCATTAGTGTATGGTCAGCCTCATGAACATCACAGTGATTGCTCAGGCTTCTGAATATGAATTAGTACTGTCGAGATCTTGCTGCATTCAGAGTGTAAATTGTCCAAATCCATCTTTCTGCAGAGCATAGCTGTTAATAATGATTTTTTTATGTGTTGAAAATGTAACGAACCCCTATCACTTAATCCATTTTCTAAAAGAGAGGTTTGAATGGTGGATATGATACTTCAAAATTTATCCTACTTCATTGGGAGTTTGTTACATGACAAACTTTTTAGTCCTATTCATTTGTTTATAAAGTAGGGCAAATTTAGAAATCATATATCTCACTGCATATTTTACTATAGTATTTCGTATGCCTCAAGATTTTTAAAGGGATCTTTTAATACGCAAGAGAAAATAAAACTTCCGTAAAAAATCCCATAAAACTCCCGTAAAAAATCCATCGTACTTTGAGAAGAGTAATATCCAACCAGGCTAATACATGAGTATTATGAGAAAAAATTTCTGTGATGTACTTTTAGTTTCGAATAACTAAAACCTTTGAATAGCTCTCTACCTTATTTTTACAGAGTATTTTATACGTTGAAGTTTATGCTTCAAATTTATATATTATAATTTCATTCATTTTAGTTTCCGTTCATTCATTTTAGTTTCCTCTGTTGGGAGCTTCAGCCCAAACTTCCCTCCGTCTGTTTCCGGGTTCCTAATACCACTTCTTGATATATCAATATTAAAGTTATAGTGTTCACATTTCAGTAATATATTTAATTTTCCCGTGCACTGATTTCCTATTCGAACCTGTGTCACATTATCACGTTTTTCAAATAATTGTATGTTGTGTTTTCCAATATTTGTTCGACAGTTCTGGTTCAATATTGTTATGTTTTCCACGCATATAC